GAGAAATCCTCATGACTTTTGGCAATGATTAGTGTAGTTTTCTTCTTCCTAACAAATTACATGCATTAAATTACAAGAAAAAAACATCAGTATTTGAGGCATTCCTGAAATTTGATACAACATGGCGCGACGCATGCGCATTAATTATTATGGTCGAGTAATTCACAAATTTTAATGAGCAATAAAATACAAAGAAATGTATGCAATACTTTATTCTTCTTCAAATATTTCTTTTGTTATTGATGTTCGACGCAAATCGTATTTTAAAGATTGATGTTTTGCCTTTGATATGGCGATATGAAATAAGCCTTTTCGAAGTCCTAAACCGGTTCCAAAATCAATTGAAAATACTCACCGAAATAGCCGTCAGCCGCCATACTTTCCTTGTAAGAACACCCTAAAAACACTTTAGATCCGGTTGTTGAGGTCATAAAAATGTCTTCTAAYTTCCAGATTTTTCATCCCCACAAATTGTATTCGTTAGAACACATACTAAGCTACATTTCTGTGCCAAAAAAAAGATAAAAACACTTTACCTAAACCGGTTCCATTTTTCTTCGAAGAACTGCCATTCTTTGACCTCTCGGATTGTGGAATGCAAAGGTCCGAGTCGATTTTTTTGAGCAGAAACAAGACATTTGTACTTCTACATGATCTAGCACGCCATTCATGATCTCTGTTTATRCCTTAGTAACCTCCCATGTCTCTTCATGCAGCAAAATAGGCATTTTAAAATGTGATAATTTAGCTTAATTTATAACGACAATAGGAAGTAARATTGTCATAATACGGTTTAAACATTGAAAAAGTGTCAAGCTAAAATAATTATACCAAAAGTTTTTCTACTGATGTATTTAGTAATAAAAGCCATTTCTTTCTAGTCAGTACATGTCCATGTATTTTTCCCATATCTCTTGGTRGCAAATTTCTTTTTGATTTTTATATGAAGTTTAAAAGTTAGAAAAAATAGAATAAGACTAAAAAAATTAAAAGTAATTTTTTTTTTGTGTTGTCAAGTGTGACTAAAAATGTCRTTATTTATTCAAGTGCATGAAACAATCACATAGTGACTACACATTTTTTTAGGCGTTATGTAGGAGGTGGTGTTTTTTTTTTTTTTTAGTGTTTTGTGTGGTCTAATTGTTAAATACACAGTGGTTTCTAATATGCAAAAGATTGGCCACTGTTGTACATCAGTATAGCCATCTGCAGTATATATTAATTGCTATATATTTCTAATTTCACTTTTGGAAGTAGTATAGCCCAGCCACTTTACCCATAGCGTAATTACAGCTCTGCAAACCCTGCTGCTTTTAATCATAGTAACTATATTTTAGCATCCTAGTTAATCAGCTTATTTACAAAATKTTGGCGAGCATGGTGTCTGTTCACCAGTACAAGAGCCCTGCTAACTTAAGCCTTTTTTTACCGAACGCACGAAAATTCGAAGCTACTMTATTGAATTACGTAATGAGAAGGAAACGATCAGAAAAYAGACTAAAGACAGATATATGTGTTTTGAAAATTTTACATCATAGGATCACARAACGTCTCCCGTAAACAATTCCGACAACTTTCCGACTTCTTCTCGATTGACAGCTCTCCAATCAATACAGGAGCGGTTCCAGCTGAAATTTGTGATGAATTTATGAAACAAATAWWATMGTCCCAAACATGTTTTTTTTGTACGTTAACCAATTTGTTAACGTACAAAATACGGATTGAAAAGGCTTAATAAAGCGAAACTAGCATYCGTAAAATTCCTGGTTTAAATGCTTGTGAAAGACAGAAGAACAAAAGTTAAACTTTAGATACTTACACAACATGAGCGTTAGGAATGATTGGGACGATAATATTCATTTCTTCGTAAGGACAAAAATTCATAGCAAAATTCAGCCTGTATTGATTTGGGAGCGACACAAGTTAATTTCATCTAGTGTCAGTAATCTACAGYTGTTYGTAAGTTATCAACTTCCWCYAATTGCAAAAGAAGACCATTATAAATATTACAATCTTTATTTATTCCAATATACAAAACTCGTCGTCAATATTGTTCATCGGTAGACCTCCGTAGGGTATTTTAGATGTCATGCATTTCTAACTTCATTATTTTCTGACGCATTTTGTTAACTATAAAGTTCACTTTTATGCTAAACTTAGTCATTCTAAGACATCACAAGCAGGGCGAACGGTATAAACACGATGTTTAATAATTCTACTCTCAACTCTACTCGTCCTGGTATTCCTGTTCCTTTCTACGGCAAGATACCATGGACTGCGGTTTTTTCTCTTCAATTTGTTATGGCCATGATGGGAAACTTCCTTATAGTGTGGATAGTCTTTATGGAGAATCGATTAAGAAGTACCACGAATTACTTAATAGCTAACATGGCGATCCGTGATCTAATTGCCACTCTTTTTCTCYTTCCGTACCTAATAGTACTGATAAACTTTGACCGACAATGGATGATTGGTGGGGTCATTGGTAATGCACTGTGCAAGCTAACTTTCTTTRCAGTATATGTGTCTTTGGTTGTTTCTGTTTATAGCTGTGTTGCCATTTCCATTGACCGGTATTTTGCCGTAGCCTATCCATTCAAGAGACCTTTCCAGGGCAAGATGAAACGCATCATTATAGGCATTTGGATCGTTGCAGCGTTAACCTGTTCGCCACAATTGTACTTTCATAACATACTTCAATCTGGAAACTTTTTTCATTGTACTGTATCTYACAAGGACAAGTCATCATTCTCTTCTTACCTTTATACATCGCAAGGTTTGAACAGTATTTTGCCAGTGCTGTTCATGACAATCACCTACACTCTCACCATCTGCAAACTTTATCATCGCAAAGTACCAGGATTGCAAACATCAGAACAAAGAAGAAGAAAGCAGCAGAATAAAAAGGTGTTAAAACATGCTGTGACAATTGTGGTTTTGCTTTATCTTTGTCACGGTATTCTGTTCGTTCGTGATATATTGGATTCTCAAGGAACGTTTGAACATCTCTCGCTCTCATCGTATTACAATTTGATGCATGTCTCACATTTCATTTTCTACCTCAGTCWCGTGTATAACTTCTTCATCTATCTCATCTTCAATGATATTTACCGTGAGAATATCAAAGCTCTGATASSCAAGTGTTACTGTCGMTCTGATGCTAACATGAGGCAGGAAAGACCAGTTGGAGTGTATATAATAGAAATGCATGTATACTGAGTTGAAGACACGACAAATTGAAACAAAGAACAATAATAGAGTAAAATACAAAATAATGCACCGAAAATACCAAGAAACACTGCACATTAAGAGCAATATAGTGAAGTACGTTAAAGTGGATTTTGGTGGGTTTATGAAAAACCTAAAGGGTAAGAGAAAAGGGAAAAGGTGTTGGCTGTAATCGTCCTTCATGGCAGCAAGGGTGCTGAATTGCGAAGGACGCAGCTTGACTTGCTACTTAAGTCGAAGTTCTATTTTAAAAGAACTTGAAAAGATTTCTTCACTAAGGATGTTGAAAGAACAGAGAGAACATGCATATCAGCTTCTTTCTGAACAGAAACGATTACAATGTAAGCATCGAAGGGTCGGCGACTGAATTAATACATTAACGGTGCTGTAAACGTTTTTGTGAACTATCTGACATTGACCGAAGGTAGGTGTTATGGAACAAAGAACAGTAAATTGAATATTCCCAAAGTAAACATAGAATAAGTACTTAAGGCGAGGTAGAAAATAATAAAGTAGTGTTGATGAACCAAGAAGGAGTTGTTCGAGTGKTTTTTTTTACGACCCGTGACAGTAGGAAATACTAGGAGGATGAGAAATAATATAAATGGACAAAGGTTGAAAAAGTGTATATTAAGAGCAACATAGTATAGTATTTTCAAGAATGTGAAGGGACTTTTATCAAAAACCGCTCTTTATCAAATCTACGAGAAACTCAAAAGCCCGAGTTTTCTTCACTAATGATTTTGACAGAACACTCAGTCGTGAACTATAACATGCAAGGTCCATGGATTAAACTCATGTTAGTATCTTATTTAACTGACAGACTCTGTATGTCCACAACTAGCTGCTTACTGAATTGTTTGGAAACTTTAAGTAAGAATGTAAGGGTTGGAAACTGAAATAATCCCGGCACTAGATTATAGACTGATTCATGAACACATGCAAAAGATGAGTTATAAAATAGTAATATAATATATTAGAAAAGATGGTCAATAGATATATGAATATAATGTAAGGACAATTTCGTGTATTTAGGATTGATATAGTTGATTGAAAGGTTATTTTTTAACTGMTGATCGTCGCCCCTTTGGGCGCATAAATTTTGGAAAAGATTAGTGTAGTTGTGTATCGTTCTTCCCAATAGCCAACTTGCGAATTTTGARTCAAGACGAGGTGCCGTGCATAAAGCTCATATCAGTCATTTGTGAAAAGACAATAGTTTTTCACGATTGATTAAACTTTTATGCACGGCGCCTCGTCTTGATTCGTTCGACTACCGAGGCGAAATTCGCAAGTCGGCTATTTTACATGCTATTTACAAGAAAGATGTCAACGAACATCAGTATTTGAAGAGAGTCAAGAAAAGCATATTTAGTTCAAAAGTTCATATTTAGTTTCCCATATCGCTTGGTAGTAAATAACTGTTTGATTATCGTGTAAAATTTAAAAGTTAGAAACATCGAATTAAGCAAAAAATTAATTTAAAGAGTACGTTTTGGTGTTGTCCGGCTTATTTCTAGTGTCGTGTTTATTTAAGCTCATGAACAAATTTCAGAATGATTGTGGATTTTGGTCGAGTACTATCAAGCCATAGTGAACTCAGACGTGTGGTCAATTGTTAGGTTGGTCAGTTGTTTCTATTATTCAAAAATAGTTAAATGTTGTACATCTCAGTAGCCAYCTGCAGCGTATATTAATTGTCATATTTCTTATGTCATTATTTCTAGTAGTATAGCCCTCTCAAGTTAAGCCATCATGGCTGTTTTAACTCTGCTGCTTTTAATCATAGTACCCATATTTTAACATCCTAGTTCATCAGCTTATTTACAAAATGGTGTATGTTCACCAGTATACAAGAGCCCTGCTAACTTSAGCCATTTTTACCGTACGCAACAAAATCCGAAGCTGGTCTATTGAATTGCATAATAAGAAGAAAACTATCAGAAAATAGAYTAAAGACATGGAAATATGTGTTTTGAAAATTACAYAAGATCACAAAACGTTTCACGTGCCGTGAACAATTAGAATTCCAACGACTTTCCGACTTCTTTTGGATTGACAGCTCTCCWATCAATACAGCGACGGTTCCAGCTGAAATAAATGAAACAAATATAATCGTCCGAAAACGCGTTTTTTATTATTGTTATATCAATGAAACTAGAACAATTTAAATATGCGTTGGGAATGATTGGGGAGATTATATTTATTTCTTTATTAGGGATATAAATGCATGACAAATTCAGCTTGAACCGCTCCTGTTTTGATTGGAAAGCGACACTAGGCAGTTTCATCTAGTGTCAGTCATCTACAGCTGTTAGGAACCGTGGATTCGTTGCTCTGTTCTTTAGTTATTTTATTGTTATAACTGCTGTGTTCACACTTGCTTGATTGGAAAGTGACACTAGGCAATTTCATCTAGTGTCAGTCATCTACAGCTGTTAGGAACCATGGATTCGTTGCTCTGTTCTTTAGTTCTTTTATTGTTATAACTGCTGTGTTCACACTTGCTTGATTGGAAAGCGACACTAGGCAATTTCATCTAGTGCCAGTCATCTACAGCTGTTAGGAACCATGGATTCGTTGCTCTGTTCTTTAGTTCTTTTATTGTTATAACTGCTGTGTTCACACTTGCTTGATTGGAAAGCGACACTAGGCAATTTCATCTAGTG